TCTGCCCTTCCTCGATGTAAATGAATATCAGCTGCTTCAGTCCAACATCTACATTAGCAGGAGGATGAAGATGAAACCAGGGTGAACATTTCAGCAAGACACTAATCCAAAACACAGCCAAGGAAACTCTCTAATGCTTTCAGAGAAAGAAAATAAAACTGTAGAATGGCCCAGCCAATCACCTGAGTTGAATCCAATAAAAATGCTAAATAAATGACAGATTTGAAATACTGAAGCAGCATCTCAAGACATCAGCCAGGAAATAAAACTTGGCCACAAATGGGTCTTCCAAATGGACCATGACCCTAAGCATACTGCCAAATTAGTTAAAATGTGCATTAAAGACATCAGAATGAATGTTTTGGAGTGGCCATCACAAAGCCCTGATCTCAATCCTATAGAAAATGTGTGGGAAGAGTTGAAATCTGCCTACAAATCTGACCCAGTTACACTAATTCTGTCAGGAGGGATGGGTCAAAATTACTTATTGTGAGAAGCTTGTGGAAGGATACCTAAAACATTTGACAAAGTTATACAGTTTAAAAGTGAAGCTAAAAAAAGGAAATATATGTAAACTTCTGACTGTCTAGAAATTAATAAAAATAAATTCTAATTTTTCTGGCATTTAGCAAATGTAAATCATTTAGGTAATCCTAATCAACCTAAAACGTTTAGTATGATTTACCATCAGACATTTAAAAAATAATGGTAACGTTATTTTTTTTTAGAGTGTATGTAAACTTATGGTTTCAACTGGGGGCTACAGCCCCCCTAAAATAGGTCTAGCAACGCCCATGGTATCAGTGGCGTAGCGGACGGGCCCGCAGGGCACGCACCGCAGGGGGGCCCCACATCGTCGGGATTTTCAACAATTGAAAATCTGGCAACCGCAATAATCAAACTCTTGGGAACAACTGTGGTCGGAACCAAAGTTCACAGGTCTGTGTTCTCTTAACTCCTCTCAAGCGGTGGACTACTTCATTCTGATTGCTTGCCGCCGAACCGTGTCATAGCTCATACCATAAAGTTGACTTGATTTCAACTCTCCTCAACGCCCACACAGGAGAAGATGCGCCGCGCTGTTCCTCGCCGCTGGTTCTCATTAAAAATGAATGACTTTTGGCTACTTTGACGCTCTCGCCGCTTTCGATTTGTGATCGCTTCTCAGTTTGTGAAGGCTTCCCCGCGTTGTTGCTCCACCCCGCCCCCTTTCCCGCTCCTCAGTTTGTGATCGCTTCTTAGTTTGTGAAGGCTTCCCCGCGTTGTCGCTCCACCCCGCCCCCTTTCACGCTCCTCAGTTTGTGATCGCTCCTTAGTTTGTTATCGCTCCTCAGTTTGTGATCGCTCCTTAGTTTGTGGAGGCTTCCCCGCGTTGTCGCTCCACCCCGCCCCCTTTCACGCTCCTCAGTTTGTGATCGCTCCTTAGTTTGTGGAGGCTTCCCCGCGTTGTCGCTCCACCCCGCCCCCTTTCACGCTCCTCAGTTTGTGATCGCTCCTTAGTTTGTGATCGCTCCTCAGTTTGTGATCGCTCCTTAGTTTGTGGAGGCTTCCCCGCGTTGTCGCTCCACCCCGCCCCCTTTCACGCTCCTCAGTTTGTGATCGCTCCTTAGTTTGTGATCGCTCCTCAGTTTGTGATCGCTCCTTAGTTTGTGGAGGCTTCCCCGCGTTGTCGCTCCACCCCGCCCCCTTTCACGCTCCTCAGTTTGTGATCGCTCCTCAGTTTGTGATCGCTCCTTAGTTTGTGATCGCTCCTCAGTTTGTGATCGCTCCTTAGTTTGTGATCGCTCCTTAGTTTGTGATCGCTCCTTAGTTTGTGATCGCTCCTTAGTTTGTGATCGCTCCTCAGTTTGTGATCGCTCCTTAGTTTGTGATCGCTCCTTAGTTTGTGATCGCTCCTTAGTTTGTGATCGCTCCTCAGTTTGTGATCGCTCCTCAGTTTGTGATCGCTCCTTAGTTTGTGATCGCTCCTCAGTTTGTGATCGCTCCTCAGTTTGTGATCGCTCCTCAGTTTGTGATCGCTCCTCAGTTTGTGATCGCTCCTCAGTTTGTGATCGCTCCTTAGTTTGTGATCGCTCCTCAGTTTGCTACGCCACTGCATGGTATATTTTATGTCTTAACAGTAACTTCAAAGTAATTAGTAATCTGATTTCTTTTTTCATGAAGTAATTGGTAATATAATCAGATTACAATTTTCCAGTAGTAATCAGTAATCAGTCATTTGTAATCGGTTACTTTTTAAAGTAACTTAGCCAACACTGTTGGTTGTTAATTAGTGTATTGCTATATCCTATATTTGTGTTTTTGTTCTGCAGAACATGCACTGTTAAGTTTTATTTTAGCCCAAGAGAAATTGATATAGACGTTCACTTGTGCTGTTTTTATCTCTGAACTTCTCCTACACAGAGTATGTACAGTATCTGATCTTTCTGAGGTAAAACTAAAAAAAAAAAAATCTTTTATCTTTTAAAAGTTTGAAGAGATGCTTGATGTCTTTACTTTGATGAGTTGATGAGTGTTTTGTTGACGTGAACATGTCAGAAAGTGCTCCTCCATTGCGCTGCATTGCATCAGATCACCGTGAACCTCGTTGGACTTTATTTGCGTGAGAAATCTCTTCTCTTTCTGGCGCTGTGATTTACTCCTTCATGTCTTTATAAAAACTGGAGACAGCAACTCTACTGCTGACAATTAAAAGAGCACATCAGAGCTGTGTGTGCACTGTAGCTCTACTGTATATAATACTTATGTGAGTGTATGTTTATTTGTATAGGGTGGTGTTTATGTTTACTGTATCCACCTCGTGTGTTCTCCTGGTGCGTGTACACTGAGATTAGCTGTGCGAGAGAAGGAACGCAGCTCTTTGTGTGATGAATGATGTACTCAAAGGGTCCTTTTAAATCCTGTGTAATATGATCCGTCTTTCAGCGTGGCTCGCAAATAAACTGAGCGCCGGTGCTTTAGTGGCTGTTCTCCTGTTTTATGTGTCTGTCAGGCCACAGGTTTTATGTAGAGGACAGAAGATTGAACCTCAGAGTGATATACAGTATCAGGTCAAGGAAACATCTCACTCCTGCAGCAGAACTACATCGTATAGAGCAGATATACACTCTAGATACTGAAATAAAGTCAGAATTGTGATTTGGCTTCTGCACTGAGCAAATTACGCAGGCGATGATTTAATAAAGTAAATTTATGCGCTAGAGGTTATTAATGCATGTGTTTTTCATGATACACTGAGTTTATTGGTTCATTTACTGTGAATCAAGTAGTTGAAGATTCCAACCCAGGCTCATTGTGGAAACGTAGCCCTGTAGACGTTTCTGGAGGCTGTGAAATACGTCCCTGGAGGTACGTATTTGTGCAGTTTTTGTTTTCGCGAATCTGCAAGAGGCCACTGTGCCATGCTTTTTCGCGTCTCGGACGCCTCTTGGGAGCGTGCACCGTTCGCATACGCGCTGTTCGCATACGCGCTGTTCGCATACGCGCTGTTCGCATTCACGCTGTTCTCACGCGTAAAGCCGCCGGAGGCCGCTGTCGAGCGACCGTCTGTCCGACTGACGGACTGAATGACTCAACGATCGACTGGGCGGCCGGCCAATCGGCAGACCGAGCCACCCTCCTCCTACTCCTTCTTCCCTAAACCCAAGCGATGATTTACAAAAGCCGTCCAGAAAAGAAAAGCAAAAGCCCTCGTCCGATTTTTTTTTTTTTTTTTTTTTTTTTTTTTTTTTTTTTTTTTATTCGAACCCGGTCGTCGACGCGGCCGGCTCCTCATCCTCCGGGCCTCCACTCCGCCGACGTATCACTGTGAGCTAAGCGGACAAACTGGTTGCGGCGGGAAAGCCCTCCACACTGACACGCCAGCAATACACCTCAACACGCCTCCTTTTTTAGACCAGAACGCTTATAGGCGCACATATGATTGCAAATGCATTTGCTATTTAAACAGCGTGGCGCAAAACATTAAAACGACTCTTGCGCCAAGCTGAAACTAGCAAACGATAATTGCATCACACCTTGCGCCACATTGTGCCGGGTGTATGATAGGGCCCATTGAGTGTGATTCAATGTGATTACACTGATTTTATTTCAGCAAGCTATGTTAAAAAAGCGTATTAATTGATTTAAAAATTAACTCATATTACATTTTTTTTTAAAAGTAGCTCAAATATTATTACTTAATGTTTTTTTTTTTTAAAAAGGAATGCCTTACTTGTTACTTTAAATGTAATATTATTAACTTGCGTTAAGCCTGGTTTATACTTCTGCGATAAGTGACGGCGTAACCCACCGCACATGCAACACGTGTAGCTGTGCATTTATACTTCTGCGCGCTGTCTCTGTTGGTCTGCATTAACACTTCAGAAACGCTAGTGGCGAATCTGAATGGCTGATAGCCGTGATATATTTAAGTAATATCAGCACCCGTTTAGCCTCTTTACCCTTTGTGTATTACGCTGTGTCGAGTTTCTTCGCTGCTGTTTTGCTTTTCCTGAACACCTCCGGGATGTACAAGTGGCTCAAACTCGCTCATTTTGAGACAGGAACCGGCGGACGTGCAACAACTTTAACTATGAGGTAAACGCAAAACAAAACTTTCCATCCGGAGCTTCTTCACGGGACTCCACACTTGTAAACAATCGCTCCATCGGGGTGGCACCATTCGCGCGGCTCTCGGTCCCGCCCAGACTCGTCAGCGCTACCAAGCCGACCAATCACAAAGCTTGTGCTACTAGTCGTTGCGACGTGTAGTTATATTTTTTTGAGAGGTGCACACCACAGCGACGCCGACGGCCACGGCGTAGGGCTATGCGTCAACAGCGTAGCATACGCGTGCGTTTGACGCAGAAGTATAAATCAGCCTTTACTTGTAAATTGTTACACCAAACATTGAAACAAGTAGCTGATTAGCGATGTTGATATTTGTAATGATTGCCTAATGATCCTGTTTTATTTTCCTGCTTAATTCCTCATCTTCTGCTTGTGTTCATCACATTTAGATTCCCAATCTGGCTGAAGGGGTGCGGATCCACGGAGAGAAGGTGACAGAGGCTTTGCGGCCGTTCCACGAGCGCCTAGAAGCCTGTTTCAGACAGCTGAAAGAGAAGGTGGAGAAGCAGTACGGCATCAGAACACTAGTGAGTGCCTACAGACAGTCCATTTCCAAACAAACCATCACACTTTCAGCACTCGCTCCGCAATAATCTTCATCCTTCACGCATGCATTGTTCGCATGTTCTTCACCACCGCACGCATGCAGGGTCACATTTCTGCCGGGTGGACATTCATAGTCATTGTTTTTATTTCACATTATTCATACATTAGTCTGGGTTTGACTTGTGTGTTGCATGTCTGGATGTATTGTATGCTTGTTTGCATTTGTCATCAGTCTGCATGCATGTTTGTCTGCATTTGTTGTCAGTTTGCATGCATTACTTTTTTGTGTCTGTCATTTTTCATCAGTTTGCATGTATTTTTTATTTTTTTTTGTCTGTTTGTCATCTGTCATCAGTTTGAATGCATGCATTTTTTGTGTGTTTGTCACTTGTCATCAGTTCGTATCCATACACTGTTTTTCTGCATTTGTCTTCCTCTGGTGTTGGGTTCTGGTTTCTTTTTCTGGTGTCTTTCTCACTATTTTAAAACCATTTGTATCTGCTGAATGGGGATTATGAGGCATTATTTTTAAAATCTGCTGCTTTTTAATAATAAATATTGTGAACAGCACTTAAGTCATGGCAGCTGTTAGATGGGTTTGAGACAGTTGCTCTGTTAATCATTGTTACTTGCTTTAATAGATTTTTCAGTCTGGATAAGTTTTATAAGCTAACTATAAAAACAGACAATAAATATTGACTGTCATGCATTTTTGCCATGATTTACAAACGTTTAGTACAAAGCTTTAGAACAAAAATAATTTGCTTACGTACAATAAAAGACTGTAATCACACTTTGATTTATTAATTGTCCTTTTAAATCTCTGTACATTGCAACCTCCTTCAAAACACTATTGAATGTGTTTATTTGCATTAGTCTGCAAGAAGATTTAGTAATTTGAAATCTATTCAAATTTAATATGGTCACTTATTGTATGTTACAATTTAATGCACAAAGTTGAGATTAAGTAAGTCATTTAACTTTTACTTATAATAATTGTTATACACTGGATGATTGTGGAATATAATTTTACCCATATGTTTACATCATTTACACAAGTTAATATTATTGCAATTTACATGAATTTATTATGCTTTTTATGTACAGAAGTATTATATATTTCACACAAAACTTCAACTATAATGGAAATAAAAAGTCATAAAAATGCTTTCAAACTGATTTTTTATTTATTTATTTTGCCTAAAATAAAATTGTTTCAATTAAGATAAAAAAAAATGTCACATTGGGGAGAAGCTCAATGAAAAGTTAATGTGTTAAATGGTTATTAAATATATATCTGCATGCATGTACATTTTATTAATTTGACATTGTATATATTTGTTTATTTTTAAATGAGTGACAATATATAGTTAATCAAATGATGATAGCAGTTTTAACAGAAAAGGTTAGCCTGGTCATTTTAGTAATAACTTCATTACCTTCATTACCGTTAATTAGATCTAACAGCATTGACAAAGCAGCATGGTGCATTTAGTTTACTAAAGAAAAACCTAAATATTTAGTTTGACCTTGGATGTAATGAGAAAAAAAGACAAATATTACAATATTGATGCTGAAACAATATATTGTGCAGCCCTAATAAATATATTTGACAAATGTATTTGACAAAAAATTTCAACTATTATAGAACTAAATGGTCATAAAAATGCTTTTATACTGTTTTTTTTTTCCTAAAATAAAATTATATTAATTAAAATTTAAAAAAAGTCACAATGGAGGAGAAGCTTAATGAAACGTAAATGTGTCAAATGGTTACTCAATATAAATCTAAAATGTTTGAATAGCACCATTTTACGGTTTTCTAGGGAGTCTAACAGTACTGAGATACAGAAATTGAATAATCACAATGCAAAAAATGCTTTTCTTTCTTTGCTTTGTCTCATTTCTGATCTAAATAACTCTAGATCATATATAAATATTGTTTTGTCTTCAACTTCAGAAGAAATAAGGCAAAATTAAGAGTTTTTCCATAAAAAAAGTTAAATGATCTGCCAGTGGAGTAAAATAATCTTGCTTTTGCTTTAAAACGTACATATTTGTTCTGGATAGATACAGTGATTAAATACAGTTCTTTAGTTCCTGTTTAACTACAATCCAGGCTCACATTGCATATCTTGTCATTAAACTATTGCAGATGCACACATTGCAATATGGAAGCTGAAACGATATATGTTGTGCAGCCCTAATATATATATATATATATATATATATATATATATGATTTTTTTTCTAAAATAAAATTGTTTTAATAAAGCAGAAAAAATGTCACATTGGTGAGAAGATTAGTTGATAAATGGTTAATAAATATATATCTGCATGCACATAAATTTTATTTCATTTTACATTGTATTTATATGTTTATTTTTAAATGAGTGGCAATATATAGTTAATCAACTTATGGTAGCAGCATCAACAGAAAAGGTTAGCCTGGTCATTTCAGTAATAACTTCCTCAGACTTAATCATGTAGTTCATCAAATGTGATATTGAGAGTCATTACCGTTAATTAGATCTAACAGCAATGACAAAGCAGCATGGTGCATTTAATTTACTAAAAAAGAAAAACCTAAATATTATTTAGTATGACCTTGGATAAAATGAGAAAAAAAGACAAATGACTCGGTATAGCATAGCTATAAAATAAGATTTATGAGTCTCATTTTTAAAACACAAATGCCATTGCAGTTGTACAATGACCCATGTGCAGTTTAGACATGAGATATGATCCTGCTGCTAAAAATAAAAATCATTTGTGATTGTTTACTGCAGTTGTTGATTGATAATCGATGCATTACATGTTCACAAATTTATGAATATATATATATATATATATATATATATATATATATATATATATATATATATACACACACAACAGTTCTGTCTGGTTCTGGAATCTGAATGGCTGATAGCCGTGATATATTTAAGTAATATCAGCACCCGTTTAGCCTCTTTACCCTTTGTGTATTACTCCGCCCACATACAGCCAGCAACAAGCAGACACTACAGATCTAATGTTTAAAACGTGCTTGCTCGGCTGTCAGCTTATGATTTGAATCCAAGCGGAAGAAAGTAGTTCCTCATACAAAAGGGTTTTTGAGACACTCCATGTTTGATTTTGTTTTTATATACACAATTATGCCGTCAAACACAAATATCACAAACACAAATATAAACACAATATCACACGAGTAGCAGTGCGATATGGCTGTATATCGGCACTGGTTGGGGCACTAAGGCACTCTGTCTGCGGCCTTGTGCCAACGCACGCCTCCCACCAGTGCCGATATACAGCCATATCGCACTGCTACTCGTGTGATATTGCTCATATATATATATAGTTGGGATGATTTACAGTTTAACCCAAAGAATGAGCAGTCTGTCAGATGAAGAAGAGCCAGAGTCAGAGATTCAAATAAATAAATAAGTAAAGTTTACTGAAGATAGTTTACAGTTTCATCAGCAGAAGCCAGCTTCAACTCTCGCAATGTGTTCCTAGGCCGCTCTGACTTACAGTACAACAATGTAGCAATTATGCTCTTTACACAAGTCCAGAAAAGGTGGGATACAGGTAAACAGTTCTCATTGGTTACAGCAAAAATAGACAATTCTAAATGCCTGCGCCAATGAAGTATTGTATCTAACTCCAGATATGGATGGCGACATGGTTCTCGGGGGTCGGGCTGATCTCCGACCTGTAAAAACTAAACCAGGGACACGATAGATGCAAGAGACAACCTGTTGTGGAAACTCAAGGTTGTTTTTTGTACGTTTAGCTGTTTTACCAAACTGGTTCAAGACTGGTTCCATCAACATTCGGCTACAATATCCTTACTACACACAGAGTCTATCTACATACAAAAGGAATTACTTTAATAAGAATTAACAATCAAAACAGAACAATCAAAACAGCTAAATTACTGTAGACAATATCATGACAAATAGAACAGGTGTTTTCCCTCTCCTCTACATCAGTAATTCCATCCAGAGGGACCAAGGGGGAGAGAGAGAGATCTCCAAGACCTATGACCTGGTTTTTGTGTGTCTCCACAATATAGTGCTGCACAATATATTGTATCAGCATCGATATCGCAATGTTTGCATCTACAATAGTCACATCGCAAAATATGCAATATGTGGATTGAATTTAATTACTGTATTTTTATGCCACAAATATGTACGTTTTAAAGCAAAAACAAGATTATTTTACTCCACTTGTTATTTTGCTTGTTTTAAGGAAAAACTCTTAATTGTGCTTTATTTCTTCTGAAGTTGAAGACAAAACAATATTTATACATGATCTAGGATTTATTTAGTTTTTGATATTTGGATTAGAAACAAGACAAAGCAAAGAAAGAAAAGCATTTATTTATTTTTTTGCATTGTGATTATTCAATTTCTGTATCTCAGTAATGTTAGACTCCCTAGAAAACCGTAAAATAGTATTATTAAACCATTTTACATATATATTTAATAACCATTTGACACATTTACGTTTCATAAATTTTCTCCCCATTGTTAATTTTTTTTAAAATATATTTTAATTAATACAATTTTATTTTAGGAAAAAAAAAAAACAGTATGAAAGCATGTTTTTGACCATTTATTTCAATTATAGTTGAAGTTTTTTGTCAAATACATTTGTATGTAATATATATATATATATATATATATATATATATATATATATATATATATATATATATATCATATTATATATATTTTTTGCATTGTGATTATTCAATTTCTGTATCTCAATACTGTTAGACTCCCTAGAAAACACAATATTATCACAAATAGTATTCACAATATTTATCACAAAAAAATAAACTATCGCAATATCAGATTTTTCCAATGTCCTGCAACCCTATAATCCTGAGGTGTTTGCATTGATTATCTTTTTTTAAAAGAATTGAATCAGTTAATCTCAATGAACCAAAGTTAAATTATTGTCATTTAATCTTCATGTTTTAGTTAATGAGATAAGACTGGTAAAATGAGTATTACATTTTAATTATGCATGTAATCTATTACATAATCATTTTAATTATGTAGTCAGTGTAAAATATTATGTTTAATGAAGAGATTTGTTTCAGCACAATTTTAATCATTTATTTTTTCTAACAATTAAATAGTACATAATACTTTCTAGCTCTTTCTGATAGATATTAATATTTAGCTTAAAGTGCAGTTTAGAGGCTTAACTAGATTAATAAGGCAGGTTTGGTTAATTAGGCAAGGTCATTGGATAAAAGTGGTTTTTGTAGCCAATCAGGGAAAAAAATATTTCTTATAGACGTGTTAATATTGATTTTCATTGATTTTAATTTTGTTTTTTATGTAAAGCAGTTTTATTACAGCCAAGCTATTATAATAACACTTTCTCAAGATAGACAATAATCACAGATTACTAATAAAAAAAATGAATACTGCGAAAATCTCCTTGCTTTATTAAACACCATTTGGGAAATATTTGAAAAAAAGATAAAAACATTTCACAGGAGGACTGATCATTTAGCCTTCAGCTGTGTATAAATAACATTAATGTGGCCTGGCGTTGCATTGTGTCGAAAGAAATCAAGTGTGAGAGATCTGTTAGTTTCCACAGCTGTACTTTAAGACACACTGAGTGACAAAGACTTTTCTAAACACCCTGTAAAGCATCACACTCTCCTCCAGTCTGGACAGATGGGCTGAAATCCCTGACAGGAGGCGCTGGGTGGGAGTTTTTAGGAGAGATAGAGAGACGGGACAGAAGTGTGTTGAAAACGGGGAGAGAAAGAGAGATAAAGCCTGAGCACACTGTAAAGAATATCTGTAAATATGCAGTTTTGCCTATCTTCTGATTCATGTTTTTTCCACATTTTTAGTTATGATTTTTGATCTTTCTTTCAACAACTTTTAACCTTGAAAAGTTTGAAAAAGTGACTTTTATGAACATTTTTAATAGTGTAAACTGCTATACTGTTTATGTTGGTGTTGTATATTATGCTACAAAAACCTTGCAATAAACTGCCCGGGCATTCTGTGTTATTTTGCACTTGACTTTGCACTTGACTTGACTTATTTCTCTATATACAACATTATGTCTCATACATTATATTATTTCAAACTATTAAAATGTCAATAAAAGTCACTTTGTTTAACGGTAGAGTTGATTATTCAACATTTAGAGTCAACAGAGCAGAGATCAACATTCCTTAATGCAATTCACAACCAGAAATAAACAGAAAACACAATACAGAAACTTTTCATTAGCAGATGTATACTTTCTGATGGTATGACAACCTTGGAAGAAATATTACATTTTCATAATCTCTAAAATAAGATATTTTTAAATGTCTGGGTCAAAGACAGCAAAATTTCCCCTATTTAACACAATGGGCTCTATTTTGACAGTCCATGCGCAAAGCACAAGACGCAAACACATTCAGGGAGTGTCAGAATCCACTTTTGCTAATATTAGGATGGAAAAATCTGCTTTGCGCCGTGGTGCATGGTCCAAAAGGGTTGAGCTTATTTTCTTAATGAGTTATAGGTGTGTTTTGAGAATAAACCAATCAGAGTCTCATCTCCCATTTCCTTTAAGAGCCAGTTGCGTCGCACAATAAGCACATTTGCCATTTACGTGACGGACTTTGTAAGTTAAAAAACTGAGGATTTTACTAGCAAGAAAACAGTTCAAAATTAACAGTTTTAAATTCAGTTCTAATTTCCAGCAAACGATTAAATGAACAATAATAATGAAGTGTGTTCAAAAACCTGAGTTTCATCCAAATACACATGCTGTGCCCCATATGGTCTAAAACCTGACAGGTGGGCATGAGCCGCACTCGAAGTGAAAGTGAAACCTGTGTGCACATTTAAATGATCATATCGAGTCATGATTACAACAAGCATTTGATATGTTTTTTTTTTGTTACATAGTGAACAAAGAATGTTGTGCATGGGAATAAATGTTTAATGTGTCATTATAACAACCCTGGCCTATATATAATGTTGAATATAATGCAAGAAGGAGTCTGATAATGACAAAATTCAAATTTTACCAGGGAAAACAAATGGTCTAATAATGTTGTCAATGACAGATGACAAGCACGTGTCTTAAACATAATAAATCAACTTTATAATTATGAATAGTTTGTTCTGATGTCATCATTTTACTGTGAATTAGCAAACAGGACTTATTGAAAGTCTGTTCAAGTCCACCATAATACAAAATTTACTGTAGCATTACTTAAGCAACGGTAGACAAACTCATAGGCCTAATATTATTGTTGATGTTTTACCACATGTTTGAGAATTCACAATAACAATAGGCTAATCAAAATAATCTTGATTTTACATTTACAGAATCAAGAGAAAGTCCTGATCTTGATTTTAAGCAAAAACAACTCGTGATTCACATTTTGGCCAGAATCATGCAGCCCTAGTTCTAACCTAATTGCTTAAGTTACAATTAACTAAAAACATATGCTGTCATGACTGACCGATCACATAATTTTTTTAGTGTACCCTAAAGTCCATCTGAATAGTACAAAAGTCTACCTTTTAAAAAAGCTACCACCCAGTGGCAGATTTTGTGCCTTTATTTCTGAGAGTGTATTGTAGGAACTATATAACAGAAAATCTTAGCGGTTTTAAAACCTTGACTTTTCCAAACCACAGTAAACCTTGAAAACGTTTTTTGTCCCATACATGAGAGAGAGAGAGAGAGAGAGAGAGAGAGTTAGAGAGAGAGAGAGAGAGAGAGAGAGACACACACACACACATATACACACATATATACAGAGGGTTACTGTATCTGGCAGCTATTGATCACTGCGCTCTGCACCAGCACTAGAATTAGCAGCAAAGCCTCCTATACAGTGTGTGAAAGAACGTGATCTGAGCTGTGTGTGTGTGTTTCAAGGGCAGCCCAGAGGAGAGGATAATGATATTTCACTCGTAGAAGTAAAGAATGGAGACTGAAAATCAGCAAAAATAATCTTCCGCTGTCCTGCTGTTGTCTGGATTTGTGATTTTTGTTTGGCTGAAGTTATAATAAGACAGTGAGGGCGGGAACTTTTACAGTTTGGCTATCAGTATAGTTGGTCTTAAAGGGACAGCTCACCCCATACAAGAGAAAATTCAGATCTGCAGAATAAATACAAAGTTCGTTGAGTACCACACGAGGGGCTGTTTGGAGAGCAGTGAATGCTTATGTAGACCAGGCTGAAAACACAATTGATGCAGATATACTTTTTTTTGGAGATTTCTGTTTGAAATATTACACTGTAAAATTTAAAATAAAATAATAGGGACTAATCATTTTGACCTTAAGAATGGTGTTTGAAAAATTTAAAACTGCTTTTATTCTAGCCGAATTACAACAAATAAGACTTTCTCCAGAAGAAAAAATATTATCAGACATGCTGTGAACATTTCCATGCTCTGTTATCTGCGTTCACACCAGACGCGGAAAAGCATCAAGTGCATGTGATTTAAGTCAGTGCAAAGACACGACATCCTGCGGCGCGATACGTGCGAATGAGGCGGCACGGGTTGAACGTTATCATCATTCATTTGTTCATTTTTCTTCAGCTTGGTCCCTTTATTCATCAGGGGTCGCCACAGCAGAGTGAACCGCCAACTTATTCAGGATATGTTTTACACAGCGGATACCCATCCAACTGCAATCCAACGCTGGGAAACACCCATACACACTCTTTCACACTCATACACTATGGACAATTTAGCTAATCATTTTAATTAAAAAAATACATTTTTAATTATTTTTTTCATAATAATACTTAATTGTAAAATCAATTAAATTTAAGGTAAACGTTTTTTTTTCTGTTGAGCACAAAAGAAGATAATTTGAAGAATGTTAGTAATTGATAACCATTTACATCCTTATAGAGATCATTGGCCAGGGCTAAGGGTTTCCAACATTCTTCAAAATGTCTTCCTTTAAGTTGAAAAGGAAAAAAGCACATACTGTTGAAGTCAGAATTAATAGTCCCCCCCCATGTTTTTTTCTTTGTTAACTTTTTTAAAATATTTCCCAAATTATGTTTTATGCTGTGTTTACACCAGATGTGGCACGCGCAGATAAATCGCACTATTTGTGTGTAAATAGATGTGTAAACATTTTAAGTTATCTCGCTTCATTCGCATGTTAAAATCACTGAGCAATAGACACGGATTCACGTCATAGGTGGGGGGCTTCTGTCTGCCCAGTGACTGTAGCTTAATTGCTAAATGGCTAACATGGATTTTATTGAGATAATTACTGTGTTTATGGAGGCTGAAAAACAGCGTCGCTTTATTTGGAGCCGTGTCTGAGCCCACTAGATTCTTTCAGAGGTGCACCCAGCTCTGTTCATCAACTCCTCCAGAAACTTAACCTGGATGATGGAAGCTTTCAGCGGTGCTTCGGATTGATCCGAGCCCAGTTTGATAGCAGGCGCTATGTTATAATCACGCCCTTACAAGAGAAAGTTCCTGATTGGTTAATGCGTCAATCGGGCAAAACGTTCAACTCGTGCCGCCTCATTCGCACATATCGTGCCAAAGGATGTCTATTTAACATGTAAATCACATGCGCTTGATGCTTTTTCCGCGTCTGGTGTGAACGCAGCATAACAGAGCAAGGAAATTTTCACAGTATGTCTGATAATATTTTTTCTTCTGGAGAAAGTCTTATTTGTTTTAATTAGGCTAGAATAAAGGCAGTTTTTAATTTTTTTAAACACTATTTTAAGGTCAATTGTTAGCCCCTTTAAGCTATATATATATATATATATATATATATATATATATATACATATAATTTTTTTTTTTTTTAAAGAAAATTATGTTGTTGTTTTTTTCACTTTATTAATTTTTTTGGTGCAAGAAATATTGACTTTAGAATTTATTCTCTAATGTGACATTGTGGTGTGATAAAGTGTTTGGTGGGTGTGTGTATTTCAGCCTCCAATGACGGATGAGCGGCGCGGCAGTCGACCTCGATCAATGGTTCGTTCCTTCACCATGCCGTCGTCTCAGAGGCCTCTGTCTGTGGCATCCGTCACCTCCTTATCCTCAGACAACTCGCCATCCAGACCGGGATCAGACGGGTATGTGCTTTCCAGAACTAAATCAAGGCTTTGATTCAGCACTGGTGGATTACATTGATCACAGTTCAGACAATTAGAATGTTTAAATGAATTAACCTCTTCATCAAAACATAGCAATCCTGAAAGCATCACACAGGATTTCAGAATTGGGAAAAAAAAATCAGCATTAAATGAGCTGATTCGAATAATTTCTGAGTGTTCATGTCACACTGAAGACTGGAGTAATAATGCTGAAAATTCAGCTTTTAATGCATGTGGATAATTTTTTTTTTTCAAAATATTTGATTAAATAGAAATAGGTTGTTGTGAGTTTTAATAATTTTTCAGAAATGTATTGTTTTTTATTAAACAAATACTGCCTTTGAAAGCAGAAGGAACTTTAAACACGAAAAAAAAAACTATTATTAATATTTATAATATAAATATAATATAATGTAATATAATATTATTATAATATTAATTTTTAACTTATTTTTATTTTTTATCATATTTTTATTGTATTTTTTATATAAATAAAAGATTTGCTAACAGTTTTAAAGGGAAAGTTCACTTCAAAAATAAAAATGAACTGAATGTATTCTTCTTTTTGTGGTATAAATGTTTGTGTTTGTTTCTTCTGTTGAACACAAAAGTAGATATTTTGAAGAATGTTGGTTGATGGGACTAAAATTTCATAATAATAAAAAATAATGTTCTAAATTTTTTTTTTGTTCAACAGAAGAAACTCTAATAAGTTTGGATTAAGAGTGAGTAAATGATGGCAGATTTTTCATTTTTGCGTAAACTATTTCTTTAATAGTAGTCAACACATCCAGTATCATTCATTCATTCATTTTCCTTCAGCTTGGTCCCTTTATTCATCAGGGGTCGCCACAGCGGAATGAACCGCCAACTTATTCAGGATATGTTTTACACAGCGGATACCCATCCAACTGCAACCCAGCGCTGGGAAACATCCATACACACTCATTCACACTCACACACTATGGACAAATAAGCTTATTCGTTTCACCTACACACTGTGAAAAAACTGTAATTTCCTGGCAGCAGGGGCGTCAGAAAATTACCATAAAAAAACTGAAAAACTGTCAGAATAAAACATTTTGATAATCTGTAAGAAAAAACAGTAATTTCTTCTATAATTACAAGTTATTACTGTCATTTTACAGATTTTAACTGTAATTGTCCAGGTTATTACTGCCATTTTACTAATTATTACTGCAAATACACAGATTATTACTGCCATTTTACAGATTTTAGCTGTATTTGTCCAGGTTATTACTGTCATTTTACTAATTATTACTGCAATTACACAGATTATTACTGCCATTTTACTAATTATTACTGCAATTACACAGATTATTACTGTCATTTTCATATTTTAACTGTAACTGTCCAGGTTATTACTGTCATTTTACATATTTTATATATATTTTATGAGGTACTGTAGGTTGTTAACCCAACACTCATCCCCCAACCTGTAACAGTTGACTTTCATAGTATTTGTTTTTCTACTATGGTAGTCAATGGTTACAGGTTTTCAGTTTTCTTCAAAATACCCACTTCAGTGTTAAGAAAATATAAACACAAAAAAAAAGATATTTTAAAAAATGCTGAAAACCTGTTACCATTGACTTTTATACTAACTGTACTTGCATACACCCAAGGCCATTTATATCGAAGTTGATATTTTGCCACACCATGTTGGTTTTTCGTAACGTCTCATTTTTATGAGGTACTGTAGGTTGTTAACCCAACACTCATCCACCAACCTTCAACCATTGAATTTCATAGTATTTGTTCTTCTACTATGGAAGTCAATGGTTACACGTTTTCAGTTTTCTTCAAAATACCTTCTTTAGTCTAAAACAATATAAACACAAAGGAAGATTTTTCGAAAAATGCTGAAAACCTGTAACTATTGACTTTCAAAGTATTTGTTTTGCCTGCTGTGGAAGTCAATGGTTACAGGTTTTCAGTTATAACGTTTGTGTTCAACAGGATAAACAAACTCATAAATGTTTGAAACCTCTTTGAGTCTGAGTAAATGCACATTTTAAGTGAACTAACCCTTTAACTCAGCCCATGCTAAAATCACAGTAGATCACATCTACTTGTGTCTCTCTGCTTAGTCGAGACTCTTTCCCTGACGGTCTGAAAGGTTGATGCCAGTCTAGCGTGGCGAACACACAGATGCCAACCTTAAGGATTAATTAGTGCATGTTTGAAGAGAGCGATTCTATCAGCGATGCCCTCCGCCGGTATTTAATTGTGAAGGGCAGCGTTTCACAAGAGCTTTCATTTGATTAGTTAATCCATCTCATTAAAGCGCTTTGATTCGCTTGAGCCCAAGATTGTGATTATGAGATTCTGCTTCGCTTTTTCTGCTGCTTCCTGCTGTGCAAAAAGCATCTCATTATGAGGGAGGTCAGCAGAAATCTCACACACGCACACACACTTTAATGCTGTTTGTATTGATGATGTATGTTTTAAAGACGGCATCGTTGCAATTTAAAGAAACGAAATTGTCCTGGGGTTTGGAGCTGAAATCCAATAGTGATGATGCAAGTTTTTGGAACTCTGTCTACACTGTAAAAAATATCTGGTGATTAAAAGGTTCCATATTGTGTGATTCGCAAGTGTTTCCTGCTCATTTATTTAGGTTGTGAATTGCATCATGGGTTATAGATCTGTGTGCTGTGGACTTCAAAATAAAACCCTACCGTTTAACAAAGTGACTTTTAATGACATTTGAAAAAGGGCTGTGAAATTAATCGAAAATCCGATTTTGATTTCGATTTTGGCCTCTAACGATTATGAAAAAACATTAATCGAGATAAAGGATTATTGCATCGTATACCGCCCTCTTTCCAGTTGTACACATTTGTTGCTCTTAAAAGTGCGAGCGAGGCCGCATGCTTCTGTGTGTGTGTGTGCGGCGCACAAAGTCAGAAGCATGAGGTCACCATTCGGTCTCATTCGCACACTGAGACGAGCAGAGCGCACACATCTAAACGTGAGCGGTTTAATGGTCAAGTAGGTGTCAAACTGTGGTGTTTAGTCATTATTTAGAATAACCCTCATTTGTGTAATAAACAAACGAATTGAGAATCAAAAGACACAGGAAAGAGAAACCCTTAAAGTGACAGTGAGCAATTTTCCTGTTGCCGCCTGTTTTTATCATTAACTAAACAATCAAAGGAGAAAATCCCTCACTGCTTTTGACTGAAGGACTTTTGTAGCTAACGTTGTATTTATTTTTTTTTTTTTTTCAGTGAAGATACTTAAATCATAGTTTGTTTCATATTTTTATTCAATTATATTTGTATTTATTTCTCCCCCCTCCCCATTTCTGTTTAATGGAGAGACATTTTTTTTTTCAACCCATTTCGGAACATAATAGTTTTAATAACTCATTACTAATAATTAATATCTTTTATCTTTGTCATGATGGCAGCACATAATATTTTACTAGATACTAGATATTTACTAGATACTAGTATTCAGATTCAAAGGCTTAATTCATTGTATAACAGTAGTTTCTGCTGCAGACAATCAAAAATATATTGCTTAAAGGGGTTAATAATATTGACCTTAAAATGGGTTTCAAAATATTTAAAACTGCCTTTATTCTAGCCAAAATAAAACAAATAAGACTTTCTCCAGAAGAAAAAATATTATAGGAAATATCGTTAAAATTCCTTGCTCTGTTAAACATAATTTGGGAAATATTTATTTAAAAAAACAATTCTCAGGAGCGCTAATAATTTTGACTTCTCCTGATAATCGTTTTGAATAATCGTGATTACAATTATGACCAAAATAATTATGATTAGGATTTTTCCAAGAATCAAGCAGCCCTAATTTGAAATAATATAATGTATAAGAAATAATGTACAGAGAAATAAGCAAAATAACAGTAAATGTGCTGGCAGTTTATTACAAGGTTTTTGTAGCGTAATATACAACACCAAACCAGACAATATATCACTTTAAACTATTAAAAATGTTCATAAAAGTCACTTTTTCAAACTTTTCATGATTAGAAGTTGTTAGAAGAACGATCAAGGTCCCATAATGCAATTCAAAAGCTAAAATAAATGAGGGAAATTAAATAACAACAACATGAGTGACAAAATACAGAAAACTCTTAATTTACTGGATAATTTTAGTGTATGGTTTACATACCGTGTAAGTTACTTAAAAAATATTGTTAATAAATAATAAAATTCATAAATCATTGCATCATTAAGCCTGTATTAAGATTACTTTTATAATTACTTTATCTAAAAAGAATTAACCTATATGTAACTCAATTACTTTCCATTTATAAATTTCCATGTATAGACCATTTATCTTTTAATGATATTTATGTTTATCAAATGCCAAAACATCATATTTATCAGTGTCACCATATTTCATGGATTATTATTAATTGACATTCATTTCTTACTGAATGTTTGTCTTGAATATGTGCGATTGACCTAAAGTAGGCTTCTTTAGTTAAAAATAGAACATATAGAAATATATTTGATCTTTTTCGATTAACCTATATGCTTGCTCACCATGACAGAATATAATTAGTGATTTAATGTAATTTAATATATAAATGCAGGGAGGCACAAATATGGAAAACTCAATTGAGCAAAAGTGGAAAAAAAGCTCTCATTTTGATCCGCGATCTCAGAAATAGCACAGTATAGAAATATAATTCATCATTTACAATTAACTGATACGCTTGGTTGTCTTGACAAAATATAATTACTAAAAGTTAGACTTTGTACTTCGTAAAATTTGTACAAATAAAATAAATTTTTGATATAGCATTTTTGTTGTTGTTGTTGTTTAAAACAAACAAAAAAATGTTTTATTAAATGAAATATACTTTTTTTTTTTCTAGTAGATTGAAAATGATAATTTATTTTGTGTGTCTGTCGGTGTGAGTTGAGTTTTTTTTTTAAACCTGTTTTATTTATTTATTTGTTTGCTAGTTTGTTTTTTATTTGTTTATTTATTTATTTTTGAGACACAATATGAAAAGTTCAGTTTACCAGGAAGAACAATTAAATCTTTTATTGAGCTATAATCTCTAAAATAACATGTTATAGAGATATAATTTATCATTTTCAACTAACTAATACACTTGTTTGCAATGACAAAATATAATTAGTAAAAATAAGAACTAGTACATTTATTTTTTATTTAACTTTTTGATAATGCATTTATTTATTTTTTTTATTTATTTTGTTCAAAACATGTTTAAAAAGGAAAAACCAAATGTTTTTTTTTTTTTTTGGGCTCATTACAAATGCTAATATATTTGCAAGTACCTGTGAGGGCATATACTGAATTTTTTTATTTTAAATGAAGACCTTTTTATTTATAAACTCTTTTATTTGTTTGTTTGTTTGTTTATTTATTTATTTATTTATTTATTTATTTATTTATTTATTTATTTTGTTTAAAACATATTTAAAAAGGAAAAACCAAATGTTTTTCTGGCAGATTAAAAATGCTAATATATTTGCAAATACCTGTGAGTGCATATACTGAATTTATAAACTGTTTAATTTATTTATTTATTTATTTATTTATGAGAGACAGATATGAAAGGTTCAGTTGAGCAGGATAAAAGTAAAACAATCTATTTTCTTAAGCCGTGATCTCAGAAATAGCACGTTATAGAAATACAATTCATCCTTTTCAATTATCTGATACTCTTGGTTTCCATGACACTGGAGACTGTAGACCAGAAATGTGCTTTTTTGAGTTGAAAGTTGAAGCTAAATGTCAAACGAGTGCTAATATTTGCTGAAGACTTCATAAGAGACTGTTGTGTGATATTAAAGAGCGCAGGCGTCTGATCCAATAAATCTCTCCATCCTCTTGACTTGAGTTTTCTTCTCTCTTCCTCTTCCTAGATTTGCCTTGGAGCCTCTCCTGCCAAAGAAGCAGCACTTTAAGTCTCAGGATAAACTGGACCGAGACGAGCCTGAGAAAGACAGAAAGGAGAAGAAGAAGGAGAAGAGGAACAGCAAACACCAGGAGCTGTTCGATAAAGAGCTGAAGACGGCCGACATTCCTTTGCAGGCCAATGAGGCTGTCATTCTGTCAGAGACGGTCAGGAGATGTTCTAACTCATGCACATACAGGTCATTCTGTCAGATATGGACAGACTATATACAGTTGAAGTCAGAATTATTAGCCCCCTTTTGATTTATTTATTTTATTTTTTAAATATTTCCCAAATTATGTTTAACAGGGCAAGGACATTTTCACAGTATGTCTGATATTTTTTTCTTCTGGAGAAAGTTTTAATTGTTTTATTTTGGCTAGAATAAAAGCGGTTTTTAATTTTTTTAAAACCATTTTAAGGTCAATATTATTAGCCCCTTTAAGCTATATATTTTTTTCGTTAGTCTACAGAACAAACCATTGTTATACAATAACTTGCCTAATTACCCTAACCTGCCTAGTTAACCTAGTTAAGCCTTTAAATGTCACTATAAGCTGCATAGAATTGTCTTGAAAAATATCTTGTCAAATGTTATTTACTGTCATCATGGCAAAGATAAAATAAACCAGTTATTAGAAATAAGTAATTAAAACTATTATGTTTAGAAATTTGTTGAAAAAAATCTTCTCTCCGTTGAATAAAAATTGGGGATAAAACAAACACGGCGGCTAATAATTCTGACTTCAACTGTATATATATATATATATATTTATATACACACAGTTGAAAGCAGAAGTTTGCATACACTGTAGAAAAGGCACATAACCATTTAATGTGGCAGATGTTAATGTGTGACTAAACTTTTTCTCTTTTAGGTGAGTTAGTATTATTACATTTGCTTCTGTTCTGCTTAATAGCAGAATAATGAGAGATATTTTTGAGAAATTGTTATAACTTTTCTTGAAAGTCAAGTTTGCATACAATAAGATTTTTATGCTTCTGAAAAGGCTCAGATGATGGTGTCAAGGTTTTGTAAGTTTCTGATTGGTTCTGATTGGCTAATTGACAGCATTTGAGTTTATTGGAGGCACAATTGTAGAATAGTTTTTAAGGAAAACTTCAAACACACTGCTTCCTTGTGTGACAACATGGAGAAATCAACAAGCCAGAATCAACAAAAAAAGCCAGATTACAATTAGCTACTGGGAAAAAAAATTATTGTTGGAGACATGTCTTGTGGTCTGATGGAACTAAGATTGAACTCTTTGGCTATAATGACATCTGGAAGACAAAGGGGAAAGCTTACAAGCCTAGGAACACCATCCCAACTGTGGAGAATGAGGGCCGGCAGCATCATGTTGTGGGGCTGTTTTGCTGCAGAAGGGACTGGTCCACTTTTACAGCATAGATGGCATCATGAAGAAAGAACAGAATGTAGAAATACTGAAGCAACATCTCAAGACATCAGCCAGGAAATTAAAACTTGGCCACAAATGGGTCTTTTAAACAGACCATGACCCCAAGCATACTGCCTAACTAGTTAAAGGTAGTTGTTTAAGGACAACAGAATGAATGTTTTGGAGTGGCCATCACAAAGCCCTGATCCCAATCCTATAGAAAATTTGTGGGCAGATTTGAAAAAGCTTGTGCGAGCAAGACAGCCTACAAATCTGACTCAGTTACACCAATTCAGTCAGGAGGAATGGGCCAAATATCCTTCAAACTATTGTCAGAAGCTTGTAAAAGGATACCCAAAACATTTGACCAAAGTTATACAGTTCAAACTCCACACAGAAATACCAACTGACCCAGCCTTCTTGCTGTGAGGTGACAGCGCCACCCCACATACATGAATGTTAAGATTAAATCAATCTTAATTTAGATTTTTTTTAGAAATGAAATAGTTTGAAATATTGTTTCAATTGTGTCTTTCAGTATAAAAAATATTTTAAAAACATTTTTAGTTCAATGAGTGTAAAAAAAAGATCTTAAAATTAAACTTAATCTGCATATAAAGCATATAAAACAATAGGCTGCCATACTAAAGTTTATAATAACTGCTCATTAGTTTGGGCTCAGAAGCTTCATTGTTTTCATGTTTGAAAACCGCTTTATTTTTGTTTTCTAACCCCTTTATCTGACATAAAAGTCATCCTTTAATAAATGCTGTATTACATTATGTTAGCGTCAGATTCTCCCTTTTGATCACAGCACACAAGTGAAGCAGAAGTCTTTCATGGCTTATAATGGATGGTGTTTTTCCTATCTTCTGGAGGCTGTGTGTGAATTGAGACACGTGTCTGGATCTGCTCATGTGATCCTCTTCAAGCTCTGTGATTTCGAGCGAGCGCCACAGCAGATCTAGAACAAACAGCTCTTAATTAGAATAAATTGACCCATTCAGAGCCTCTTTGACTTCTCTGACTAATGTGTCATTGTGAGAGAAACACGTAACCTTGCTCTTCTGCATACACAAAAACTAGCACATGTAATTACTGCGCCTTGTGGATGGATCGTCTTTTATAAATCACCATAATGACCTTGACCCCTTTCTAAAGGCCACTGACCTCGACTATTCACTGTCCGCAGATGAAGACAGAGCTGGAAAATCTGTTTCATTGCCTGGTCCATCTGTCATGTGAAGAACAAACCTGCCTGCTTCTGTTTTTACTCTCTTTTTTTTTTTTTTTCTTTTACAACATTTTCTTTTTGTCCTTAGCTGATGCCAAAGAATTCTTGTGATAAATGTAACTGCAGTTTCATTCACAAACACACACACACACACACACACACACACACACACAAATGTTATATACAGTTTTTTTTAATATAAAGTTTTTGTTCAAATTTAAATAAAAGCTGATATATATATATATATAGAATCCTTTTGCTCAAAAAAACTTTTAGGTTAAATAAAAGTAACTTCAAGTCAGAGTTTAGCAGTTGTAGGAAGAAATTATGGGCTTGACTGTATGTATATATATATATATAGTCTTAAAATGCATGAAATTTCTGACAAAAATATTTTTGAAAGTAAAATAAAGCTAAAAATTAAAAATAACATTTAATGATCATTTGGATTTGAAAATATGCATTTATATTATTTTGAAGTTTTTAATATTATTCTATAATATTAAATGATTTATTATTATTATTTAATGTAATTGTATTAATTTTGAGAAATTTAATGCATTTTCAATTAAATAAAGCTTAAAATTAAAATAACATGATTTAATGATCAATTGGATTTTAAAATACATATTTATTTTAATTTGACATTTAGTATTACAATATTTATATATAATTGGCTCTGTTCTTGGGCCACTTCTCTTCTCCATCTACACATCATCTCTAGGACCAGTCATCCAGAGACATGGATTCTCCTACCACTGCTATGCTGATGATACCCAGCTGTACCTCTCTTTTCATCCTGATGATCCCTCGGTTCCAGCTCGTATCTCAGCCTGCCTGTTGGATATTTCACACTGGATGAAAGATCATCATCTTCAGCTGAACCTCGCAAAAACAGAAATGCTTGTAGTTTCTGCCAACCCGACTCTACACCATAACTTTTCAATCCAGATGGATGGGGCAACCATTACGGCATCCAAAATGGTGAAAAGCCTTGGAGTAACGATTGATGACCAACTAAACTTCTCTGACCACATTTCTAGAACTGCTCGATCGTGCAGATTTGCACTCTATAACATCAGAAAGATCCGACCCTTCTTATCTGAACATGCATCCTTGTTCAAGCTCTTGTTCTCTCCAAACTGGATTACTGCAACTCTCTACTAGCTGGGCTTCCAGCTAACTCTATCAAGCCTCTTCAACTGCTCCAGAATGCAGCAGCACGAGTTGTCTTCAATGAACCTAAACGGAGCACATGTCACTCCGCTGCTAGTCCGTTTGCACTGGCTGCCAGTTGCTGCTCGCATCAAATTCAAAACTCTGATGTTTGCCTACAAAGTGACTTCTGGCCTAGCACCTTCTTATCTGCACTCACTTCTGCAGATCTATGTGCCCTCCAGAAACTTGCGTTCTGTGAATGAACGTCGCCTCGTGGTTCCATCCCAAAGAGGGAAAAAATCACTTTCGCGAACGCTCACGCTCAATCTGCCCAGTTGGTGGAATGAACTCCCTAACTGCATCAGAACAGCAGAGTCACTCGCTATTTTCAAGAAACGACTAAAAACTCAACTATTTAGTCTCCACTTCACTTCCTAATCTGCAATTGCCTCTTTGAATATCACACTAACTGTACAAAAAAAAAAAAAAAAAAAAAACTACTAATACTTCCCTTAGACTTTACAGACCTGAAACTTGCCTTTAGTACTTATTCATTGTTGCTCTTAGTTGTGTAAATTGCTTCCTTGTCCTCATTTGTAAGTCGCTTTGGATAAAAGCGTCTGCTAAATGACTAAATGTAAATGTAAATGTAATTGTCTGAAATTTCATGCATTTTAGATAAAATAAAGCTTAAAATTAACATAATGTTTTTTAATGTTATTTTTATTTAAAAAAATACATATTTATATTAATTTGAAATATTTCATATTGCATTAATTGTCTGCAATTTCACGCATTTTAGATAAAATAAAGCTAGAAATGAAATAACATTTATGTTTTTGGATTTAAAAATACATATTTATATTCATTTGAAATGTTGAATATTATAATAGAGACATTAAGAAAAGAGAAATTTCATGCATTATAGATAAAACAAAGCTTAAAATAAAATAACATTATTTAATGTGTTTTACAAATAAATTCGTAAAAATTTAAATAAAATAGTTTGTTAGTGTTATTAAATTTATATAGTAGTTATTTTTATGTTAGTATATATATATATATA